CAACTACAAGACCTAGTTTTTGCTGTGTGCAATTAATGTGTTGTTGACATCAATAGAAGCTGATTGTTACCAATATCATTTTAACACATATAATCAAAAATCTTTTACATTACAAAAACCACATGGCTTCATTTTTGAAGTTTGATTGAGATATTTTTTGGGGACACAACTAAGAAATTGGGTAAGTTTTCTTTTAATTTCATAAATGTGTGAGAAGGACAAGAAGTCACTACATTGACTTATAAAAAAAAAAATTTAACAAAGAAGAAAAAAACCCATTTCCTCGTTATTCACGACATTATTTTGCAACAGTGTTCTAGCTAAATAAATAGGAGGAAGAAAAAATAGTATGAAGATTTAAATTAAAGTTAAATAAGGCAAAGAGGGAAAAAAAAAAAAAAAGTTGTCAGACAAAATGACCTGAATTAGGTGTGATCCAGTGGCATCTCTTAACCGGTCCCGGAATTTCAGGAGAATTGTCTACAACGCCGGCGACGTCGACGACATTACTAACCTTCGTTAATCCGTTACGTTTCGACGGAGTAAATTTCCCAGAGTTTGTCGTTTTCACCGACGACGAACGTTCCGATGAAGAAGAAGAAGATGAATAGTCATCAGTCGAAGCTGAGAAATTGCTCGTCACGGAGGAATCCGCCAGGGATTTCGTAACTCCTGGAAGCAGTTTCTTCTTGGTTATCTCTGTTTTCGAAACCCTGAATCTGTTCCCGGTAGAACAGAGGATAGCTCGTGGTTCAACCATCGGTTTAACCGGAGAACGAAGCTTGTTAGTGACTACAGACATCTGAAAGAAGGAATTGGTAGAGATGGAGAATTCGAAGGAAATGTGAGGGTAAAATCGGAAAGAGAAAATTTTGAGAAGTGAGATTGGATCAGAGAGAGAGAGAACAGAGTAGGAATTGGAAGGTTTTTAAAAACAGAACGGTAACAAGAAGAAAACAAAAAGGACTTACGGGTGGATTTTAAACCGGTAACAGCCGGTGAATATTGCTTACCTGTCGGTTAAACTTTGGTTTATTCGTTTTTTGGTTGGTTATGTTGTAAAAATTACGCTTTTGTCATTGAATTCAGGATTTAAAATTTACCGCTGGTTGTCATTAAAACGAAAATATATTAGTGGGGTTAAGAAGAAGAGTAATTCTGTATATTAAGGATATAAAATGAAGACCCTTTCGCTCAATGATTTGAAAAAATATAA